TTGGGAATTTTGGATTCAGTCTGGCAAGATTCTGTCTTGAAGGTGAAAGCTAATAAAGGCTTTAGAACTAAATCTGTACTGTCTCGTGGAGTTGCTTGGGCTGAACCTGACAGAGGCTGCCCCTAAGCCTGTAAAAGCAACGTAGTGTTTTTGGTGTACTAGAATATTTCTCAGTTAGATGGCATAAATGGTCTATTGTTGAACATCCAGACCTGAATCTGGCCTACTCAGGGGCCAAGATATTCTCTGATAGCATCTAGTCCAATAGTTTGTAATGTAAGACTCTAGCACATAGTTTGCTAAATACAAATAAAGGATTAATTGTTCATAATTAGCAGGGTTGCATTTGTCACCTTCTAATGTATTGAGAAAATGATAGAATTAAGCAAATCTTTTGGGATAAATAGTTATTTACAGTGGTAAAAAGAGGGATTAATGTGGACACCCACCAAACAAGATTCGTTTTCAGGAATTCTAATAATATTAAATATTTGCCAGGAGTTTTACTGTTTTTCAATTGAACTATCAGCTTTTGGATTTCTGAGGGTGAAACTAGGGCCTGTGGGAAGGGGGCCATCTAGAAGGAAGGCATGCATAGCACTACCTAGTGTCATTTTGAATAAGCCATGGAAGTGTTCATCCCAAGGCTTCAGAGGAATTAGGTTGTTGCTATTAGGGTTAATTGTAGCTCGTATTCAAGAGACTTAGGGCCAAAACAGCTGATTGTTTTACATATCACTCTGTTGAACCCTGGCCTGATTCTCTAGTGCATAGTATTGCTGCTGTCCTTTAGTAGTCTCTTGTAACTCTTTTTTAGTAACTCTTTTTTAGTAAATGGAAAGAATTCCACCAAGAATTGTTGTGCATATGGGTTTTGAGTCTTCTGGACATGGGAGTTGGAGTGTTTCCATCTTTGGTTCTGTATGGGGTGGCCCTGCCCCATTCAGGCTTGGTGCACAATCTGGGGGTTCTCTTGGACTCACAGCTCCTGCTCAAAGACCAGGTGGCAGCTGGACCACAGGGGCCTTTGCACACAAATGCATCTTGTGTACTAGTTGCACCCATTCCTGGACCAGAGGCCCTACTCATGGCTTAATCACCTCCCGATTGGATACTGGGCTGTCTTTGAAGTTCATCTGAAAGTTTCAGTTGGTCCAGTGCAGTGGTGGTAGTTATGGGTGCAGCTCATTACACCTGTGTAACACTGCTACTCTGCAAACTCCTTTGGCTTCCAATAGGCTTCTGGGTACGATTCAAAATTCTGCTTATCACCTTTAAAGCTCTACATGGCATAGGACTGGGATACTTGTGGGACCACCTTCTCCCAAGAACATCTGCCCACCCCCCATGCTCCCATAGGTGGAGGGAGTTCCCTCTTTTGAATTTTGCCACCTTACAGAAACTAGTACTGTAAGTGTGCCTTTTTGATGGCTGCCTCTGTGCTCTGGAACAATCCCTCCTTACTCCCCCCCATACAACAACAGGCCCTAAGACCTGGCTTTTTCCATAGGCAAAGTTAAGTAGAGTTCTCTTGGTTTTTGTGTTTAATTGCCATTTTATATTTATAAACTGTGTATGTTTTAGTGTTAATGGTTCTTTTTCTTCATTGCTTGTTTTTCTGTTGTATGCTGCCCAGAATCACACTGAATTGGGTGGCCTTATAAATCCAGTAAATAGATTCTTATAGACTAGGGATATAGGAAATCCTTTTATAGTTTGACTGAGCTCTGGTCTGCCTTTGGATAATAGGGCTGTCCAAATTCTTTCTTTAACCAACCTTTTGAGACTATGCATTGAACTTCATACAGAAGGATGGGGGCCCTTCTTTTTCTTTACAGTGGCCTTTTGCAGTGGTTCCTAATTGCTTGTTTTCATTCTAGCGTGCTCTGATGGCTGAGAGGAGATTTGCTTCCCAATTAAAAGACTCTGATGCATCTTTGACCAACACCAGGTACCTTGGGAGGGTGGTAACTTCCTGAGAAATATTCTTTATGCAAAACCACATGATTTTCATCTTTTGTATCCACAGACGTTGCTGGTTTTGTGGGGAATCCCTGCTGGGTTGCGTTCCTTTCCATTATCTTGACTTCTCCTTCTGCTCCACAAGTTGTCTGCAAGCCCATCGACGAGGGAAAGCTGCTTCATCCTAGCTGGGGGTTTTGCTTTGGCATCAGGGGACTGTGCTTCAACAGAAATCCCTCCCTGTGACTGTTGTCACTTTAGAATGATGAGAGATCAAGTAGAGCAGGGAAGTCACAAGTAATTGTTTCCATGTACTTCATAGGAGGCTAATATGGACAGCTGTTATTTGAGAAATGAACTTTCTTCATGAGAATGTATGTTTTTCAATTTTAAACTAGAAAGTTTAGGAACTGGGTAAAAAGGTTATTAGGGCAACCTCTCCCCCAGATATGTTGGGCCTGCCCCACCAGAATTCACTGCTGACTGGGAGTTCTGCAGGTTAAGAATTCTAATACATCTGAACTGTGCTGGTTAGAGAAGGCTGTATTA